AGCCAACCAAAAAATATGCAGGAGAAAGTGGAGATGGATGGAGATGGACACTCGCTGAGGAGACAGCCGCTAGGTGACATCGCGCGCGTGTCAGGCCGTTGCTCGAGTGGAACCAGGCCGGAAGGGAAGCACGCGGCGAGTGGGACGTCAGTGCAAGGGTGACATGGAGGAGATCGTGTGTGTGAAGAGGAGTTGAAACAGTATGGACTAACATGGATTCAGGTGAAAAGTGCAGCAGAAGGAAGACAGAAGTGGGAAGTGGAGACGTGCAGTTGAAGCCCTATGTTCCACTAGGAACACAAGGGAGCAATAAACAAAATAAATAAAACCCTTCGATAAAGTTGCCCACAGAGGACTACTCATGAAGCTGGAGATTCTTGGTACCGAAAGCAGATCACTAAACTGGCTCAGGGAATTCCTCACAGATAGGAGGCAGAGTGTAGGATCAACTTGAAACTCCCCTTCTGGACGGCAGTATGTAGCGGAGTGCCACAAGGCACGGTACTCGGACCTCTCCTAATTATTTTGTATATCAATGAGTTATCTCAACTCACCGACTCCCCTATGGTCCTATACGCATATGACTTAAAAATTTGGAGAGAGCTGAAGGGCAACAGTGATACACTCATGTTGAAAAAAGACCTCAAAAGATTGTCAGAGTGGTCCATAGAATGGATGCTCCCGATAAATGTAGTAAAATGTGCAACCATTCTTATAAGACAAGCAAGCATCAGCTCCTACGAACTAGAGGGAATAATACTTCCATCAGTTCAGACTCACTTGGACTTAGGTGTCACAGTTAACCACGACCTAAAAAATACAGCACACTGTCGCGCAGTGTTTGCACGTAGTTTCAGGTCCTGTATCCAGACAGCCAGTCCTTGTCTTAAATGGGACTCACATATTCTAGAAAGTGTTCAAGGGAAGGCAACACGTATGGTTCACGGCATGACTAACTTATCATACGAGGAAAGACTAGGCAGTTTAAATCCTTTCTCCCTATCATATCGTAGGTAGTGAGGAGATTCAGTAACAATGTTTAAAACTTTGAATAATGACTACGGACCTGACCTATTCTCTCTTTACCTTCCCAACAGGTCGGAACACCTTAGAGGACATAGCAGGAGAGTTCAAAAGCCAAGAAGAAATGATATTACTGTTGAGTTATGGGTCTCACATGGAGTCACAAACTATTAGAACCGACTTCCAGAAGGAGTGGTGTCCGCTAACTCAACTGATTTATTCAAGCAGGCCGCGAGCCTTCTATACTCAACCAATAAATCTCAAAATCTGAAATAAAATTTTTTTGGGGAAGGGATTCACTTGCCAATACATCTGAGTATATGTACAATGTACAATTTTGCCGCTCAAATTAAGCTGAATGACTACGGCGTTGCAGCTGGGTTAAGGCACGTACGTAAGTCACGTAAGGCACCAATATATTGGTGGCAATAGTAAAGAATAGACACCAGAGTCCAATTTTTTCAAAAGTTGACACTCAAGAACTAATCTGATACAGGGAATGCTATTTAAGGGTATTCTAAATCAAATCATGCCTACCTTTTTGCACTTGGAGAAGGTAGATACAGTATTCCACTTATTCTCTAGGCACTTTTTCTGCAAATTTATACTGTTATGTAGGGATATGGCTTTTTACATTAAGGTTTGGGGGTCTAAGATTAAGGTTACGATTAGGGTTACCTTAGGATTATGGTTAGGGTTAAAAGTTGGTTTGAGAACAGTGCCTGAAATATCAATGGATCTTAAAGTACTATGATCTACAGTCAGCTGCATAAATGCATCCATCACCCATAATATGATTTCTTAATAGATCATCTGTGTGGTGACTGGGGACATTCTTAAAACACAACCTACTATATAGTGTAATACCATGTTTGCAATATTTTTCTAGTTCATTTTTCAACGATTACGCTACGTTTCCGGCATTTCGATTAGTTGGAGAAGGGTGTGCTGTGTAATAGCGTCATTCCTTTTAATTCTTCATTATTTTCTTGCATGTATGGGTTTGATACGCAAATATCACCTTTATCATGTGATTGATGCGTTCAAGATCATTTTTTCTTTGATAATTGCTGGTGCTTAAAGTTCAAATTTGCCTACAGTACTAAGCAGATTTGTCTGCTGATATACTTTTATTTGGATCATCCAGATGTGGATGATCTTCGATTATGAAAGGTCTATAATAAACTGCGCTTTCACTTGGTGCTTAGGAGTGTGACAAGTTACAGCCCAACATGCACATAAAAATACGAAATAAGTTTAGGTGGCCATGTATAATTTTTGAAGGTGGTCACTTTTCCAGAGGTTGTGAAATTCTGTGCGTCTCTGCAAAGCAACTGCTCATAGTTTTACACCATTATAAACATGTGAAGTTGTGTCTTTACAAACAGAGTAATTTATAATTTAGAAACCCTACACGAGCAGACAGACATGTCTACTAAATAGAATTTCTGCCCATTTACTGTCAAAAATCTTTCTAACAGTGTAGCTAGTTTCATGCGTAGAGTTCCGCCATCACGTTTATAAAAAGACGCAGAGAAGTCGGGACTGTTTGCTGTACTGCACTTTTGTTATTCGAGTTCGTTTTGACCATATCTCTGTGGTTTTGATTCAGCGTTGAAATAATCAAGATCTTTTGTTTTTTTCTTAGCAGTCTCTCACTGTCTAAAAGGACTTGTAACCGCTATTGAACAGTTCGAAAGTAGTAGCTTGCACTGGCATTGAGTACCTAGAAAAATATGCGATAAGTAAAAGCTGTTTGTTACATCGTGAGTTTTTAGAGTAACTGAGATGGTCTCTGTTTTCAACATAGAACTTTGCACCGATGTGCGGCAGTTCAAGTCGCCACACTCCCTCCTCGTAGCACACAAAGCAAGAGAAGAAAGTAGAAGAAATGCATAATAAAGGCAGTAAACAGAGATATGAGGCGAAAAGAATAGTAATATCGAAGAACAATATAGTTTCATTGGAAATTATAAGTCACGAGGAGTGGATACTGAGATAGTTAGTACAGCCTTTTGCTAAATATGATTACACGTAGAGAAGTCTTCTTAAATAATTGATGAATCCACTAAGGTTTAAATGGATTAAAGAATAGAGTAAGGCTTCTAATTGACTTTTTCTTTGGGAATGCTCTAGATTAGCTTAATACTAGTTATATCGACAAGTGTGCTTTGTTGCATTTGCATGTAACGCACACCGCTTTTTTGTTGGAATTAGCAGTATATAAAGTTAGTAGACTCAAGCTTGGCATCTATTGGTGTGCTACTTTTGGTAGAACGAATGTATCGTTCCGGCACCTTGCAAATATAGAGCAATTTTACATTGCATAAGTGACTACTTGATTGCTTTTTGTTTCTTTGGTGCAGTCTGATGTCGTTTCACTTGTGTCATAGTTTTGTACTTTTGTAGCATATCATTTCGGAACAACTAATCTAGTTTGTTGCCATTATCCATTTGGTTTTGAGCAGTCTTTGAAATAAAAGACGTTCCACTTATAAAAAAATGCTAAGATTCAGTTACAGCCACACCTACTAAAAGGTAAGACGTAATAAGTGTATTCTTCAAGTATTGATTTTATAGGGATTTAGTTTAATTGGATGGAAGATTTCATCATGAGCTGACATCAGTTAGAGAACCACTGGAAAACCTGGGAGTGATGGACAGTTGTTTCAACCTAGTTTGGGACTCTTCATCAGTACGCTCGTTTCGTAACCAAAAGGTCTTTGGTTCGAACCCAGTGGGTGCGTACTGATGAAGAGTCCCAAACTAGGACGAAACAGCTGTACAGCACTCCCAGGTTTTCCAGTGGTTCTCTAACTAATGTCAGCTCATGATGTAATCCTCCATCCGATTGTATTCTTGTCTCTGTAAATTAGTGGGTAACACTGGATGCAGTTACATCTGGCTGATTAGTTCTAAATGAGTCGAACAGCGATTTGTGTATTTCTCTGCTGGATATCACTAGTCGGATAATGTTTAACTTCGAGAACTTCAATAAGTGCCACAAAGTACGACCTGGTAACCTACTGGTTGGAAAACCAGGTTATAGTTTTTATGGCTTTATCTTATTCACTTACTTAAAAGCATCAAGACAGAAATAGCCTAATCCAGTTTTTGCAGGTTGTGAATCCATTTGAATTCGACCGACTACTCATCGCGTTTGACGCACTGGAATAGCTTTTTATCTATCTGTATATCCGTTGTCATATTAAGTCAGGGATTCTAGCAAATTTTCCCAGTTGTTTTTAGTACATAACTTCTCACATTGTCTATTGTGTGGAGCACGTGAAGGACCTTTCAGTAAAATAAAACCCCGACTTTGGTAGTTGTTTTAGGTGGTGTGGACGTCGTATTTCTGGTGTAAATTAACAAAATAAAAAAAAATAATTTTATAGGTTATGACTCCGCAAGTGAAACAACCCATCACTATGGGGTGTGAGATTGTGTTATTGAATGCTCCTCAACTATTATGAACTTACAATATCTTGCACATAAAAATCGAAGGTAGTCATGAGTGCATGACAACTGCAAAACAATAAATTGCCGAGAGCAGTTGGTTTGAAGTCGTCGATGCAACTGACAGCGTTCCTTAGGATAGGGTGGCTGATTCAATCGTTTTATTTATCAGCCAGATCTAGTCAACAATAACTCTTGACTACAGATTTTGCAACTGATGGCGCTCATATCAAGTATTAGTGTGTCTAGTAACTAGTCAGTAGATATCCGTGGTCGTTTCGAACTGCTATGTTGTGGTAGCTTTAAAAAAATAATTTAGTTCATCCATACATTTCCCTGCATATTATAGACTTACTAACATCCGCAATGTAATTATTGAATGAGTTATATCTACGAATGGCATGCCACTTGTATATCTGTTGTTTTTCTCCAAAAAGAAACAATTTTTCGTTGTCTAATCCACTAAACGCAAACTATTCAATTTATTTCATTTTAGGTCCTACCTTTAACGCTTATCTAAGATGTTTTTGAAGCCATTTATCGTGAGATCGAACACCCAGATAAAAGCCTCTGAAAAGTTCGAGTCATTTTCTAAATTAACTAATTTAGTTATTTTCAGAAAGCAACTGTTAAATTCATTCTATGGCCAGTACAAAATAGATCATACAAATCTTTTGGATGCTTTTAAAACAAAAGATGTTCATCGCCTAAAAGTTATAACTTCATCTGAAGTAAAGGTGAATATATACAAATTTGGAAGTGTTCCTCTGATTATCGAACATGAAAAAGACTTACTTCCTACGGGTATTTTATTCATTTTGATAATGTATGTATAAACTAAGTGTATCTTCTTTGGCATTTACCTGATATTCTTCCACATTTCAAAGTGCATGAGAATTTGATTTCTGTCCTGATAAATGGAGCTGGTAGTTAATAGCTTCTTAGATTGAAATATTTTTATAGATCTTATGCTTCCTGGCGTAGTTACTGATGGTCCCCTTCTACCAGATACATTTAATAAGATAGAAAAGGATGTTTTATGCTGTATTAGTACAACTTCCAATCGGTATTTCAATGTTTAAAAAAACAACAAAATAATGTCATACTTCAGTGCACCAATAGCTGTTGGGCGAACAGCGATGTCTAATTATGATATGTATATGAGTGCTGGGAGAGGAAGAGCTGTATCAGTACTTCATGTCATGGGTGATCACGTGTGGTAAGTTCCACTTCTTAATGTTTATAATAGGCTTTTTGTGATAAAATATTACTTCTTTCCCCCTCTATGACCACAACAAAAGTATTGTTCACCTGTTTTACCTTTAAATGTTATAAAGAATGAGTTTCTGCTTCATAGAAAAGGTGTTGTAATTTAATCTTTTTTTAAAACTGGTTGGTTTTTGTGGGCACATGACGATTGATAATTAGTCAAAATATGAACGCATAAGCTACAAAACCTTTCTGTGTGTTGATAACTTTATTTACAGATCATTTATTTTGGCCTGATAACGAATGTAGTGTTCTGCCTACATGGAGTGGATTGTATTCGTTAAATCCTACTTGCTTGTCGTTTATACACTTAATTGGCTGTTTATTTGTAATTGCGTGTAACCTGTCCAAATGCCTTCTAGCAGACCAACAGGAATCACATTGTTTTATATATATATATATATATATATATATATATATATATATATATACAACATGAACAGATAATTGCTGTTTGTTGGAGATGTTGAATAGCAGTAATGATCGGTAGCACGTTTAGATTAGTGCCACCGACTGACTGACTGGTTTCAACATAAAACTTTACACTGATGTCCAGCAGTTCGAGTCTCCAGACTCCATATGGCACACAAAGCCAGAGAAGAAAGTAAAAAGAAATGAAAAATAGAGACAGTGAAAACAAATATGAGGCAGTAAGAATAGTAATACCGAAGGCAGTAGAGTTTCATCGGGTATTAAAAGTCAAAAGGAGTGGATGCATCTGCGCCAGCCATTGAGAACGATCACTTTGAGCCATATCACGAATTGTCTCCGGCCTCCATTGTTGTTTAACCGTCCCAAGGACCCCAATCAGTCAGGGAATCTACGCTTTCCTACATGACTGGCTGGTGGCTTAAGCTAGCTGTTGTGGATTTCATTGACTAATGAAGCCATGTTTTGGTTTGACCACCACTGGTTAGCTCTATCCAACCTGACCAGTCCTATGTCAGCTAAGATTGCCCGTCGGTCGAGGAAGGTGATGGCTAGGCATGCGTATTGATTCTGTGTTGATTCTCTTCACTCATCTTCTTGTCTACCTCTGTGTGCTATTTGGAAGGTGGCAACTCGAACTGCTGCACTTCGGTGCCAAGTTCTATGTTGAATCCGGACAGAGGCATGCGTAACACATGTCCTAACCATCTCAGTCGATGTAACTTCACAGCCTCGTCGATTGATTTCCCCCTCCCTCCTTACCTAGCACTCGACCGAGACCTAACCTCAATATTGTTCACCTTATTACGCCACCTAATAAGGAGATAAAATGCAGACACATGTGAACAAAGACAGCTAGCCAACCTTTCCCGGCTACCCACACCATGGAAGTCAATTGAGTCTTCGGGCACCTGAAACAGAAAGAGGGTTAGGGTTGCGTGACCGCAGAACCCAGAGGACAATTGCTTAAGGTCGGTCACACACAGTTTGTATGAGCTAGTTTCTTGGATTGGTTCCGTTTTAGCAAATTTACCGCCGGTTACGGACCACCGTAGGGTAATTTGAGATGTACAATTTTTGGGGTTGACCTTTTCTAGCGCCATCTCTCCAGATTGTGAGACAGCATAGCTGGCACGCTAGTCATCTGAGGGAAACACCTTACTGCTGTTGCACCTCTGTTCCTCAGTAGTACGACTTCATACACTATGCCGGTAACTGCTTTTAGTCTAATCGCTATCCTAAAAGCCTTCCTGGCATGGTAGGACCTGCAAGAACAATAGTTCCAGCCATTGTAGCTTGTTGGGTCATTGCGATATGCAAGCACGACCACCACGTCAAGGTAGCAGCTATCAGTCGGGAGATTAGCGTCAGCGGAGAGCAATATCCTCCGGTTGTTTTGATGCTATGTGTTGAAAATAAGTCAAAATTTTATTGTGTTAAATTCATTTCACTGTATGCAGTTGATAATTTCGTCTTTAGAGTTACTTTTAAAAAGTCAATAGCATCAGGAATATTTTTTGATCTCTGTGTTTTTTCCCCAGTTCTCTAGCATCATCTGTTACTCGTCCTATCCTACCATGGCTTGTGACAGAGGAAGATAAGCCTAAAATGAATGAGAATTGTGAGGTAGCATCAGGCAATGGTAGCAATGAGCAGCAGTCACAAGTAGATTCGTGTCAACACTCTACATCTGGTGATGGAGATGTTAACGAAGAGCTGAATAAACTTACTATTGAACAGTCTGCAGGTTAGTTACCATTCTTTGCATTACTTTTTAATAAGTTGGTTCATTTTTAAAGTGTAGGACTCTTTATGTACTTTACTCAATAGGGACTGCCTGTTATCATCCCATAAAGATATTTGGTGACAAAGTTTTATCGTTGTTGTTTGTTTTTCAAACGATTTTATTTATTTTCTTTTGATTATTAGCGTGATTCTACACCGTATTTTTCTTGTACAAGTATGGAATTTTCAGCATGTGAAACCGGTAGCCCAAATTTTTTAGGTAGACCAATTGATATCAATCAGATGTGGGTCAGCAGGGGATCGAGTCCCGGACCCATGTACATGGTTGGCGACAGTCCTAACCGCTGTGCCACGATCTTAATTCTTGCTATTAGTTTATTTACTAGATATGTCATTTCATCAATGAGTAGTTAATTTTGTTTTTATAACATTTAAATCCTGTGTAGACTGTCTTTACCAACCTCGGATTAGTTATTGGTTAGCATTTCCAACAGCTTTAATTCACAAAGCTTCTAAGTTAATTCCTTCTATCTAGTATTCTAATTTTTATGTCGAATATTACTGAATAATTTTGTTCAAGTTTGCATGATTAGCGCTATTTGCTGCTAACTCGTTAAATCATCTACTGTCGACTGTGACATTTCTCAGTTGGTGTTAAAAACATTCGAGTACAGAGGTGATTAAGATTCATGGCCAACAACAACAGACAACAGTCAGCATAAATGCGAGGAACCTGAAAGAAACAGCTTCCTTTACCTACCTTCCGACATGGGAAGCATCGTTTCAACTACAGGCGGAACTGACGAGAATATCAAAGCAAGAATCGAAAAAGCAAGACAAGCTTTCATTACTCTCAAGTCTGTGTGGAGGTCAACAGCACGCAGCATCAAAAATAAGATCTGTATTTTCAACTCCAATGTAAAGTCAGTGCTAATTAACATACGGATCAGAGACTTGGCGCTTCATGAAGAGCACATCAAACAAACTACAGACCTTCACCAATAGCTGCCTTCGCTCAATACTGAAGTTCAGATGACCAGAAAAGATCAGCCACAGGGATCTCTAGCAATGAGCGAACCAACCAGGAACTGATTGTGAAACAAATAGGCGGGAAGAAATAGAGGTGGATTGGCTGGCCATACTCTGAGGAAACAAACCATCAAGTGACATCATTAGACAAGCCACAGCTCGAGTGGAATCCGAAAGGGAAGCGGGCGGCGAGTTGGTCGTCACTGGGAGGGTGACTTGGAGGAGGTCATATGAAAAGGAGATGAAAGCAAGTGGTCAGACTTGGAGTCAGGTGAAAACGTTGGTGGAGAAACGAACGTAATGGTGACGTTTGGTTGAAGTCCTATGTTCCTTTAGGAATTATAGGAAATAGTAATAATAATACACCTTTATGCCTTCATATTTCCGTATATTTCACGTTATATTTCTATTCAGCAGAACCACAACTACCTACAGATCACGATGCAGTTTTGCGAGAGTGCTTTCTAAAAGGTCTTAAGGTGATCAAAGCTAACCAGTTGCCAGTACAAGTCAACATTTTCTATTCTCAATTCGTTTTAGTACACAAGTTAGTATTCTTTTCAAATGTATGTTGCTGTTAAACTAAAATTCGTTCTATATTTTATTTTATTTTAGTGTATTTAAGTGTGCTTGAGATTTCAAGCACCATAACTCGCATAAACTAATTAGAATCAAGAGTATCTAAAATTATCAGTTGTATGCAAAACAGGTGCATAATTTAAATTTGAACTTTTTCAGAGTGGCTGGAGATGTGCGGTTACTGTTAAAAAGCCCTGTGTTTCGTTCGGGCAACCCAGGGGAATATGATAATCAAATGCAAGTTTTTCGAATTTCAACCGGCCGTGATATAGAATAAAAACAATGTACAATGTTAATAAGTTTTATTAGGTTTCAAGGCTAACTCAATTGAAAGTCGTTATGAAATTATCTAAAATCATTAGGAAGATAAATTAAGACTACTGTTGCATTTTTATGAAAAACACACTGTCATCAACATCACTATCAGTTAAAATTTCTGAATAGGCAGTACATACAGTAGCCTCCGACACATATCAAGTGGTTGGTGTTTTCAAATTTAGTCAGCTGATATTTTTAAAAATAATTCCTCTACGTTCCCAGTGGGACATGGGGATTCAAGCTAGAGAGGATTTAAAGTTTCAATGATGTTTCAGTGATGTTTTATCTTCGCGGGACGGGGTTGCTAGTCTCATGCCCAGCCCAACCTTCCCTCTTTTTTACCAGTCTTATTACTAGCTGGGTGAAGCAAAGGAGTGCGTCGGTGGCCGGGGATAGAACCCCAAAAACACGTGAGGCGTGGTTGGCGGGCATTCTAGCACTGTGCCACCGACGCACTAGTCGAATGATATGGTCTTTGATATTAGGTGGTTGGAGGCAATCGGCAGGATGCCTTTGGACATAGTCTTAGAGCTTGTTAACACTCACCAGTCAGCAAGGCGTGTCTGCACTTTTGTAGGAATTTAGTGTCGCTTCTGAGATTTGAACCCGAAAACGGGTAAACAGTACAAACAATGTGATATAGCATTATTGTGTAACAATACTGGTCACAACCTTTTACGACCGTGTACATGGGATAACTCTGGACACTACTGTTTCACTGTGTGACATATCTACCAAACAAACTGATAATGAGAGTAAAGATCGTATAGTTTAAAATTGGTAAAAGCTTCAAAATAAACAAAAATGACTAAGGAAATAACGAAATCTGGTGGTTTTATTACGTCGGTAAAGATCAAGTATGAATAAATTTGCACCACTCCCATGTAGTGGTTATAATGACTGCCTTCCAAGCAGTCAATCCGAGTTTGTCTCCTGGCGGTCGCAAGAGTTTTCAGTGTGTTGTTGGCACAGCGGTAGGAAGCCCTCCAACCACGCCTCACGTGGTTTGGGGTTCGATCCCTCCTCGGCCACCGACACACTCCCTTACCTCACTGAGCCAATAGTAAGACTGGTAAAGAGGGGAGGTTGGGCTGGGTATGAGACTAACAACCCCATCTCGTGAAAATAAAACATCACTGCTACCAAAACTTCAAATCCTCTAGCTTGAATCCTTATTGTTCCACTGGGAATGTAAATGAATCTTGTTAAAAAATGTCGGTGAATTTCAGTGAAATAATTCATCCTTGTACAGACGCGTAAGTAATGAATTCAGTTGTATGGTTGGTGGGAAATTAATCCAATTTAAGTTGGCTGTTATTAGTCTAAATAATCAGAGCAGCTGTTGAAATTCAAGGGGTATTTTTCACTTTAGTTTGAGTTTGAATTGTTATCCAATAACCACTTTGCTTCATATGCACTTGGTAATAAGCCATGCCTAATGCATGATTCTGTCTACAAAGTAGTATTTAGTAGACGGAGTGAGAATCAAATCTGTGACCCACTGATAGATTGTCGAGTGCTTAGTGCAACGAGTCAAAGCAGACTTATCGAGATTGCTATGTTGTGACAGATGCATCACTTGGGTTTATCAGCTTCATCTGGATTGATTTCCTTTTCCATCTTATAATACGTATCTAATCATATTCCTATCTCTACCGCTATTAACACGCTTTTTTTTCCTTCATACGTTTAAGCCATTCCGGCTTCATTGTAAACTGAATAAACCCTAAATTCTTGGATCATTCGTCTTTTCAAGATTCAAGCATCACTCATCGTTCTAAGACTCAGTCACATTCGTAACAGTCATATCGCTTTTAGCCGTTACACACATAAATGTATTGCTTTTACAAACGCAGGCAATCTGTAATATTGTATGGAAGATTTCATCATGAGCTGACATCAGTCAGAGAACCACTGGAAAACCTGGGGATACTGGACAGTTGTTTCGTCCTAGTTTGGGGCTCTTCAGGAGTACGCACCCGCCTCCAGGGTTCGAACCCAGGACCTTCTGGTTACAAGGCGAACTCGTAGACCATTGAGCCACTGGGACCCGATCCAATGGCCAGCCAGCCCATAAATTCTAACTTCTTCCAATTCACGACTTAGCGCGACCACTTCACAATGTCTTCTTCGATGAGTTACTGCCTCATCTTGAACCTGATGTACCCTACTGGTCACGGCTCCCCACTAGAACCCCAGGTTAACTTCCTGAATAGGGTGAGTCGTTAGTGATCATCAAGATTAATTTTCAAGTATTGGTTTTGTAAGGATTTTGTTTGATTGTATGGAGGATTTCATCATGAGCTCACATCAGTTCGATGGTCTCAATGGTCTACGAGCTCGCCTTGTAACCAGAAGGTCCTGGGTTCGAAACCTGGAGGTGCGTGCGTACTGATGAGGAGTCCCAAACTAAGACAAGGGGAACAGCTGTCCAGTACTCCCTGCAGGTTTTCCTGTGGCTCTCTAACTGATGTCAACTCATGATTAAATCCTCCATACAATCAAGCAAAATTCTTACAAAACCAATACTTGAAAATCTATAATATGTAGAATTCTTGAGTGTGGTTGGCCTCAGTTCAGTGTTAAATGCGTTGTTTTAACTCTATAAAAAGTACATTTTGACAGATGCATTGTTATAATGTGAAGGCGTATTCGTGTGCACAGTATTTATTCTACATGCATCTATACACTTATTTTCATGCTCATCATAAAGCATAAATACTCATGACATACTTTATTTAAATAAATGTTTGGTCACTGTTCCCTCTTTGTTTACTTTTGGTAAAATCATCTTATAAGCGGTGCGTGAATGCCAAAGATGTTGGAATGACGATGTGTGTGTGTGTGTGAATAAATTTGGCGAGTCACGAAAATCATTTTCAACGGTTCGCAGACTTTTATTAACAGCTGTCTTCAAAGCTTGAAGACGATATTTAAGCTCAAGTAGCCAGAAAGAATTAGCAACAAGAAACTGTGGCTGGAGACAATCCAACTAAGAGTCTATAACTGGACAAATAGATCAGACAAAAATAGACGTGGATATCAGACCCACACTGAGGAGAGCGTTGATTGACGTTGCATTCTAGGCCATCGTAAAGGAATAAAAAAAAATAGTGAAACTCCCTTGCAACTTGTGCTTTATTTTATTATTATTATTATTGTTCCCTTGGGTTCCTAGTGGAACATAGGGCTTCAACTGCACGTCTCCACTTCCCACTTCTGTCTTCCTTCTGCTGTACTTTTCACCTGAATCCATGTTAGTCCATACTGTTTCAACTCCTCTTCACACACACGATCTCCTCCATGTCACCCTTGCACTGACGTCCCACTCGCCGCGTGCTTCCCTTTCGGCCTGGTTCCACTCGAGCAACGGCCTGACACGCGCGCGATGTCACCCAGCGGTTGCCTCCTCAGCGATTGTCCATCTCCATCCATCTCCAATTTCTCCTGCATATTTTTTGGTTGGCGATTGGTTCTTGTTTTGTTCGCTCCCATAGTTTCTTGTTGGTGATTCTTTCCGGCCCGGCCAACTGATCTTCAGTATAAAGCGAAGACAGTTAGTTGTTGATAAAGGTCTGGTCTGCAACAGGCTGTTGGAAATATTCTTTGTGACCCGTCGGCCAAGTTTCTGATCCGTATAGAAGAACTGACTGACTCGACGTTTGTATTGAAAATCCGACTGAATTTTGTTGTTGATGCTGAGTGACGAAGATTTCCAGATTGGTTTCAGGTTGATTGATGAATGTGTTTCTCGCCTTCCCGATTCTTGCTCGATTTGACATCCTCGTCCGTTCTGACTGGCTGTAGTTGAGACAATGCTCCCTAGATAAGTGAGTGAATGAAGTAACCTCTTCCAAATCCCTCCCGTTGATGGTGATTGGCGCTGGATGTAGCTGTTGTTGTTGTTGTTGGTTATTTTCATCACCTCCATCTCGTCTATGTTCACCTGGAGTCCTGTCTTCGCCAGGCGTGACATCCGGTTATCAACCAAGGGACGTGTGTACTGCTCATCAGTTCGCTCCGTCCTTCTCTATGGCTCTGAAACATGGCCAATACGCGTTGAAGACATGAAAAGGTTGACTGCTTTCGATCATAGATGTCTGCGATCTCTGTCTCACGTTAGGTGGTTTAATAAGGTAAGTAATGTTGACGTTAGGCGTAGAGTGTTGGGCAAAGAGGGAAAATCAATCGACGAGGTTATAAAGTTACATAGACTAAGATGGCTAGGTCACGTGGTGCGCATGCCTAACCACCGCCTCCCCCGACGGGCATTGTTAGCTGATATAGGTTCAGGTTGGAAAAGAGCCAGTGGTGGCCAAACAAAAACATGGCATCAATCCATGAAATCCTTGACAGTTAAACTGAGTCAGGTAGGGAGATGCAGACTCCCGGGTTGGGGCCCTCGGGACTCTAGGAATCAATGGCTGGAGACAATAGGTGACATGGCTCAAAATCGTTGTCAATGGCGCAGATGTATTCAATCTCTGTAATCTTTCATATTCCTTTCTACCATTACCCATTCTGTTTCACTCTTATATTTGTCAAACTCTATTAATTCTCTTCACTCATCTTCTTGTCTACCTCTGTGTGCTATTTGGAAGGTGGCAACTCGAACTGCTGCACTTCGGTGCCAAGTTCTATGTTGAATCCAGACAGACAGACAGCTGCTTCTTCGAACTTGTGTTTTAATTGTGTCCAGTTATCTATGACGAGTATGCCTGATGAACACCAACCTAGAAAGCAAAGTTTTCCGATGAAATTCATTTCACCAATCAGAGACTTAATTGATTAATGAGTACGGCGCCCATAGTGAACAAGATAGAGGAATCTTTGTTCCCTTCATTGGCTCTCTCTACCGAACCTTTAGCATATGGCATTATTCACCTTTACCTTTGGGTGAGGAATAAGCTAATGAATTTATTATTGGTTTTATTATTTACTTTTGTGCTTTTTATTTCTATGGTGAAATCCTTTCTAATCACATAGGCGTTTTATTGTTTGTAATTCATGTTACAGACCTCCTTCAATGGATCTGGATATTAAGAAAACAAAATTTAAAAAGGTTAGTTGATGGTTGACTTGACGAATATGTGATTCTCAAGCATAACATTATACATTCTTGCATAGTTGTATATTTCCTTAAATATGTGACCCCTTCATCAATGATCACCTCATTTTGTTACGGTGATTTCGCTCCCGCCAAATGCAAGATGATGTTACAGGACTGGACTACACCGACTCCTAGATTAGAAATAGGGAGTGAAGTGGTAGAGCACGTTGACCGCCTCACTTATTTGGGAAGTACCATCAACCAACGCCAACGGGTTGATCTCTGACGAAATCTCGGCACGGATACAGGGGGCTCGTTTCGCATTTGCCAGTTTACGCCGTCTCTGGTGTAGACGTGATATCCGACTGGCTATCGACCAAAGGGCGGGTGTACTGCTCAGGAGTCCGCTCCGTCCTCCTTTATGGCTGAGACCTGGCCATTGAGAGTGGAAGATATGAAAAGCCTGGCTAGCTGTCTTTGATCGTAGGTGCCTGCGTTCTATCTCCCGTGTGATGTGGTATAATAGGGTGAGCAATATTGAGCTTAGGCGTCGATTGTTAGGGAGACAGGGGAAATCAGTCGACGAAGTTGTGAAGTTACAAAGACTGAGATGGTTAGGACATGTGTTACGTATGCCTAGTCATCGCCTTCCTCAATGAGCAATGTTAGAGGATATAGGGTCAGGCTGGAAAAAAGCTAACGGAGGTCAAACCAAAACATGGCTTCATCAATCAATGAAATCTACAACAGTTAGTTTAAGCCAGACACGTAGGAAGGTGTAGACTTCGTGGTTGGGGTCCTCGGGACGGTAAAAACCAATGGTTGGAAACAATTGGTGACATGGCTCAAAATCGTTCTCAGTGGCCGGCGCTGATGCATCCACTCCTTGTGACTTATGATTTCCAATGGAACTGTTTTGTTCTTCGTTATTACTCTTCCTTTGTCTCACACGTCTGTTTCCTGTCTCTATTATGCTTTTCTTGTACTTTCTTCTCTTGCTTTGTGTGCTACAAGGAGGGAGTATGGCGACGTGAACTTCCGCACATATGTGCAAAGTTCTATGTCGAAAACAGACAGACAGGGTGATTGGCAAGAGATTAGCTAACGGGATGTTTATTAGGAATTTGATGTATACATACAGGGAAATTATGTACACCTTAGCGGGAAATCGTCATTTGCTCGGATCTTTCGTGTTGTGGTACTTCTATCCTTCCTTCGCATATTGTGTTTCTTTGTCTTCGTTTGGTGTCTCCCATGTTTTGCTGCAATACTGGTTCATTTGCTATCTTCCTCTTTTTGACGTGAAATCTATCTCTCCGCTATTTGATATTTGTATATCCCAATGGGCGTCTGTTTATACACTACTGATACAATGGAAAGTCAATCACCAAAGAGGTGGAGCAAAGGAAACACTGGGCTGAACACTTCGAAAGACCTCTAAATCGACCACCACCTACAACGTGCCCAATAATACCAACAGCGGAAGCAGAACTACCAGTGGACATCAACCCTCCTACGAGAACAGAGATCCTGAAGGTCATAATAATGCTAAAAACTGGAAAAGCAGCGGGACCAGACGGAATCCCAGCAGAGGCGACAAAAAGGATCTCCTACACATCAGCGGACTTGATGACACCACTACTGGATAAGGGATGCAAAGAGGGCAAGGAACCTGCGGATTGGAAGAAAGGTTACTTATTCAAAGGGGACTTAGGTTAATGCAAGAACTGGAGCGGCATTATGCTTCTCCCTAACCCAAGGAGAATACTAAGCCGCATCATCCTGGAGAAAGTCAGGCACGCTCTGGATGAAAAACTTCGACCAGAATAGGCTGGATTCAGGAGAAATTAGTCATGCATCGATCAAATCAAAACATTACGTATATGTCTGATTTCCCACAAACTGGAAGATATGCAAGTGAAAAGCAGCAAGTTGGCAGAAGAAGCATCAAAGATAGGCCTTTAGGTGAACATAGAGAAAACAGTGGTGATGAAGACTCCTAGCCAACAGAAAATGTCTGTCACATTTGTCAGTGATGTCCGTAGGAGGAGAATTTCCATTTCTTTAAGAAAAAAATTTCTTTGCGGCAACATTACGAGTACTGGTCTCCAATCGCCCACTGATCTGCAGAAGCCCAAAGGACAAGGTCCCGCACCTGACCACTTCTGTATATATATATATATATATATATATATATATGGAGTGTGGAGACTCGAACTGCTGGACATCGTTGCAAAGTTCTATGTTGAAACCAGTCAGTCAGTCTATTTGTCACACTCAGCAACCAAGTGACATTTATTACACCTTGCTTCGTTAGGGTGGCGAAGGTGATTTCAATTCCCTTGTCAACGAAACCACATGATAGTTGTACTTGGATGAATGATTTATACCCAACCATCGGTGGTCACGTTATCCACATGCATCTCGTATCTATCAAATATAAGGTAACACTGTAACGACAGAAGACGAGGGCCAGGCAACAGATTGTTTATTGAAAAAATCAAGAGATATTTATAAATTTCTATGTACATTTTTATTAGCGTTATTGGTAGCAGAGAAGCCACCACGTCTTCTGACTGGTTGTTTTCTTGCTGCAGGTTATTCTGTCATCTCTTTGTGACCTTTTCTTGGAAAATTAGGCCACATATCTGTGAATCATATTTACACACGTTAAGTCTGCTGTGATTGTTTGGTTAGTTCATCAAGGTTAAGCTTTGTTATTGTTTTTCCCATGACGTCAATAATGACGTAAATAGTTGTCTGCGATTGTGGCTTGCAGTCAGCTTTCACTGCAACACAACTGGTCTGTTGTGTCTAGTGATTGTGACAAATTTTGGCAAATGAATTACTGCATAGTAGTACCCATGAAGTCTCAGTGGTTCGTGATATGTATTTTTCAAACAGATTGTAAGGCAATTTGCACACAGACGTAGTCAGTATATACTATTGGTTGAAAGACTCGTAGAGTGAAACTGCCACTTACAAAACTGTGATCACAACTACTGTGGACGGGGGGGGGCGGATTGGCCTTTTTCTTGAATCTTTGTAGCCAAAGTACTTGTGATTTAATTATCGAAAGTGAAGTGTATAATGCTAATAAATTTGCTCTATCTAAGAAGGAGAAATTGATAGAATTCAAGTGAAAAGTTCAGCGCGATTTTCATAGTTCATTGTGGTCAGCATACTTACTGTTAGCTTCAACATTGTTCGGTTCATTAACTTTCTTACATTGACTTGTCCCAGTCTGATGAAGCCAATTTTTTTTAAAGTATACCAATAATCCATGTAACTGTTTCTATGCCGACGGTTACTTCTCGATAACTTTTTATTAGAAATTAGTCAGTGGTCCTTGGTCTTAAACTAAATCCTCAAAATGTTAGGTTGTGAATTTCATTTTTGGGTGCACGCGCGACTGACGTGAACCGGTTAGTTCGCATGGTCCCACTGTCATGAATGCCACTGAAGTTTGAACTAAATTGAATGTTAAGTTCCTTGGATTGTGTATTTCTTCTTGTCTTTCCACAACACGTTAGTTTGCAGCAAGATATTTCATTTGAAGTTCTACGTAAGGAAGTTAAAATGATCTGGTATCATTCTGTGTCTACTGTTATCGTTTGTTAATTCTTATATTCTGGCTATACTTTTTCACTTCTCCCCTTAATCTTTCCTGGGCTACTTAAGGACCACATTCTTATACTGCATAGGGCATTAAAAGCCACCAGTAGGGCTAGTGGGGTGTTGATAAACCAACTCGTTAACACTGATGCTGTAGATAGACACATGGACTGACGCAAGAAATTAGCGAATAATATCTTGGCAGACCATTAGCATACTCTCTACACACAACTCTCTCCTTGCATCTATCTCATCGGGTAGAGCTAGAAGCAATTATAGAAGATTATGTGCTCGGGCGTCGGTGGCACAGCAGTTAGGACGCTCGCTGACTATGCACATGGTCCGGGGTTCGATACCCGGCCGATACATTCACTCATTTACCACGCTAAGCCAGAAATAATGCTGGGAAAGAGGAAAAGTTGGGCATGATGCTAGCAACCCCATCCTGTAAAAATAAAACACTGTTACAGAAACTTCAAGCCAGTAGCTTGAGGTCCTATATTCCACTGGGAACGTGAAGGAAAAAAAAATGTGCTTGGACGACTAGTTATAAAAACTACATAACTTTATTTGTCAGTCACACATTTTATATAATGAGAAAAGTTACTGCGAAACACTAAGTAAATGGCCCTCTTTAGGCTTTCTTTCATTATTATATTTCTGTTAGTATTTTCATTTGATGAAAAGCAAGAATACAGTGATTGGTCTTTATGTCTTTTCACGCTAGAGATATCTTCTTTTCTTGTCTAGGTCGGTGTATTTTTGAAAGCAATGCAAGATGAAGGTTTCGTTGAAATCACTGAACCTAAACCAGGTGTATTAACGTTAAATAAAATCAATAAAGATCACATCGAGTAAGTACCGGGGTCTCCATCGGTTTATCTCCTTTTTCAATGGAAAATGTGTTTCCAGTACCTTGTTTTGATGAATACTGAACAAATATCATATCGTTACGCCTCACCTTAAGATACACACCTTTTTTGCTGCATTATTACTGAATAAAGCTTATTGGTAATGCATATGTTGTCTCACTGGCTTTGTGGTGTTAAATTTAATAAGGTATGAAGTCTACTGATTGTATTGAATACACAGAGAAGGATTATACTAGTAGATACTTCTGCATCATTATTTATTACATGTATGGTGCCTTCCTACAACATGCTTAAATTTCTTATCTTTGGGATCATGAAGGTCACGTGTTGCGATGTCGGTTTAGAAAAAAAACACAATCACTAGAAGTTCTCTACATCATTTCCGATTTATCACAGCCATCTGACTGTGTGGCTTCACTGGCTTAAGCATTCGACTTCTAACCAGTGGGTTCCGTGTTCGAGTCTCGCTCTGCTTATTTCAGCCTCAGTAACTGAGTGGTATTGTGTCAGCCCTTCACACAATAAGTATTACTTATGGGTGGTTACGGGTCAGCCGAGTTCTAATTTAACCAATTGTTTATTTGCCAGCGGGGTGTGTTTGTGTGGGTTGGATAAAGTAACCTTATAATTTAGGATCCACTGAAGGTTAGTCCTTTGATTGGACACTAGTAACTAGTTTGTTGTGTCTGTCCTTTCTTTGGTGTAGACTGAATTCTATCAGTCAGTTAGATTTGTAATGTCGCCGCCTTCAAGGTTTGCGGATACGCCTTGCTGTGTGACTGGTGAGTGGCAACTAGCACAAAACCTAGATCAACCAAGGCTTCCTGTGGCCGATTACCTCCAACCATCTAATATCACCAGAAGGTTAATCGCGTTAAATGTGAAATCGTATCATTCCAATAAAATAGAAGAACTGAAATGTTCTATTGATAATCAGGTGTTTTTTTATATTTTACTAATATATACCTCCATGCGAAGTAGGATTTTTTAGTGGTCACTTTTAAGATATGAACTATTCAGTCCAGTTTATCATCAAAGTTTTTTGTCTTTTGTATGCATATATACATATGCAATTATTTACTCATCTAGATTACGAGGTGTGCACATTCCTGCACCAGTTACAGATCCGAAGGTTGTGTGTAATTGGCCAGACGAGTATATGGGTCCACCGACAATAGAAAATATCGGAATAATTAAGGATCAGTTGCAGCATTGTTTTCACAGTTTGGTTACAAGTAAGTTGCTTTTATTTCTAACAAATTTTCCGCTAGAGGAGAATGTGGTATGATGGAAAATGCAAAAAAGAAAAAGGACTCGTCTACTTTATTTCATGAGCTGACACCAGTTAGATAACCATTGGAAAACCTGGGGGTACTGGACAGCTGTTTTCGTTGTCGTAGTTTGTGAGTCCTCATCAGTACGCACTCACCGCCAGTGTTCGAACCCAGGACCTTCTGGTTACAAGGCAAACTCGTAGACCATTGAGCCACTGGGACCCGATCCAATGGCCAGCCAGCCCATGAATTCTAACTTCTTCCAATTCACGACTTAGCGCGACCATTTTGCAATGTCTTCTTCATTAGTTACTGCCTCATCTTGAACCTGATGTACCCTACTGGTCACGACTTCCCACTAGAACCCCAGGTTAACTGCTTGAATAGGGCGAGTCGTTAGTGATCATCAGATTAATTTCCAATTATTGGTTTTGTAGGGATTTTATTTGATTGTTGGCTTAATTGTACATTATGTTCACTTTGTTATCGTTTATCTCGAATTCTGTAATATGGTATAATTGAAGGGACTACTTCAGCAGTCTTTGTGTCAACACAGACTTTCAGAGGCGGTGGCAGCGGCGAACGTTTAAAAGTTTACTCATTATGGACTTTTTCATACTAAGTGCATTCAATTCAAGTTACCATGCTTTATTTCATAGGATGCTAATAATAAAAAGGTGAAATGAAGTGTAAGGCTATTACTATTATAGGCAAAAATAAATAGAGGCGAGAAGCTGATGATGAAATCCATCGTAAAGTTAGTCGCTTCATGAACTTGGAATAATAATTCAGCTTAATGGTTTGCAGAAGGCTGTGTAATTGTCTTACTTACCCAAGGTTTAGTGGCAATCAGAAAACTTATTATAAGGTTTATGAAAGCACTGTAAGAACTAACTTAAACAAATATGGGACATTATGAACACGAAGAGATGTAAGGGCTGAGATATACCACCCTGGATGCTAGACGTAAGCAGTGTTTGTCTTAAAGAACCATACCCATGAGCCCTTTCCTTGAAGTCTGATCACCAAGGTGTTGGAACAGCGTTCACATGGTTGCCTTGCAGGTGACCAAAACAGTCCAAACGCCATTTGTTCATTTCGGCTTCTGAAGCCCATATACACTACAGGTGTGAAATTAGGGTTTTTCAGCTCGCCTAAGTTTGTTGACCTGCATGTACACCAGTCCAGTTGTTGTAAGCACGAGACGTTCTGATTCGCCCTTTCACTTTGGTTAGGAACATCCACCACACCCCACGTGAAGGCAGGCGGTGAATAGGACTTGTCTAGTAGTAGAGGCCTTGAACATGTGGGGATAAATGATAGCATGTCGAGTTGGGTGAGTTGGATTCACATTCAAACTTACATCTCTTTTCTGGGCTTATTAGCTAGCTAGTAAATCAGCCGGGAGTCAAATCCAGACCTTCCATGTGACTGGCAAGTACTCTGCCAGGATTTCATCATGAGCTGATATCGGTTAGAGAATTATTGGGAAACCTGCTAGTACTGGATAGGTATTTCGTCCTAGCCTAGGACTCCTTAGCAGTACACACTCACCAGGGTTCGAACCTAGGAGCTTCTGGTTACAAGAGAGCTAGTTCGCAGACCATCAAGTCACTGGAACCTAACCCGATCCAATGGCCAGCTCATGAATTCCAACTTCTGCCAATTCACGACATAGCGTGATCACTAGCCAATGTCCTTCGTGGAGAGTATTTGTCTTCACACCTAACCTGCTGTACTCCACTGGTCATGAATTCCCAGAACCATTGACTTACGGAGAATAAAAACGAGAAGTCCTAATTTCCACTGGGATTTTTTCTTTTTCATATATAAAAGGTGAACTGAGACTTGATTGCCCCCTTTTTTTTCACTTTCAAGGCCAGGTGAATCAATAAGTCAGTCAGAAGCTCGAAAATCTCTAGATAACTATGTCCGGATGCATAAGCTGCAGTCTACTGAGGATCCGAGGTAAGTACTCTTACTTTCTGTATGTTTCTACTGAATATGAATTCTCAGCATATTTTATAACTTCATGGCATGTTTACATTAATTTTATTCATAGTTATATAAAGCATTGTAATTGTTCACGGGAACAGTATTTGTTGAGTAGAAAGGGGTCAACAACTTTCAGCAAAAATTATAATTATTTCCACCCAGCCCCGACCCTCCCACAGAAATATGTTTTCTTGAAAAATAAAACAGGAGCCTTTTTGTATGCGGTGTTGTTTCCTGTGCAGGGGGGGAGGGGAGGGGAATACCTCCAGTACTGCGTGCTAGCATAAACCCTACCCCACCCCACCAGAAAAAAATATCACCGAAAACCAGGTATCACTCATAAATGAATCCGTTTAAATTTTTGGCTCCAGTTCACAATACTACTACCCTACGCAAAACTCTAATATTTTATTTTGACTTCTAAAACACCGATTCAGTGAAGAAAATTTTCTTTATCGACGAAATCATCGTCACAGGCTGTACTATACAGTTGTATTTATACTTAGAAAAATGTATAGTGGTCTATTATTGAGTAATAGGAGGTGATATAATTGATATTAGCACTCAGAAGTGGCTTTAGAAGTGAAAATTAAGTTTTATACTTATATGAAAATTAAAAGTTGTAAATTACGTGGTACTCAACAGCACAAAGATAGAAATTTGATGATGATCAGCTGATGTATGAAAGATAAACTGCCGTTTTAGGCCACCTCAATGTGTGTTTATAAATTCACGTGCTCGTGTGAAGCTGGTTATATTGGCCGCCCGGACAACTTGGCGAACACTTTCCAAACACATCTCTGAACATTATCCGGCATGGTTAGCAAAGGGACAATGCAAGACAATTACTAGCTGAATTCTCGAGCATTTGGTGAACTCAGGCCAAGTAGCTCCACCAGAGTCGTCTTTCAACATCATCTACAAAGTAAAGCCAAATGGTACAAAAGGCGTCATGTTTCGGCTTTTGTGTATATGGCGAAGGCGCTGGCAATTCATCAATACAACCCTGAACTCTGTATATAGAAAAAGTTTGTCCAGTCTCTTATTCTACCTTGGTCTTAACCTCTTCACTAATCGTTTCCTGTAAAAAAAATTCTTTTTGATTTTTTCTTTTGTTCTTAATTTTTAATTTTTTAGTTTGCTTTTGCTTTAATAAATAATTCACTATTATATCAATTTCATATGCTCCTTTTGTATATTTTCACACCCTCTTCACACTTGTTAAATTGACACTGGAATACCACCTTTATTCTCTCTCACTCAATAACAATTTTAACCTTATCAAACTTCTATCTTTGTGCTGTTGAGTACCACGTAATTTACAACTTTTAATTTTCACTTCTAAAGCCACTTCTGAGTGCTAATATCAATTATGTCACCCCCTATTGCTCAATAATAGGTCACTATATATATTTTGTATAGTACAGCCTGTGACGACGATTTCATCGATAAAGAAGCATTTCCTTCACTGAATCTGTCTTTTATTTTCTTCATGACTCCTCAATGGGTATTCTCGGTTATTTTGACTTCGTTTAGAGCTTACAGTTCATTTGTAATAGCAGAAGGCAAGACACGGAAGCCAAGGTATATTTTTTCAAGTAATCAAGTAACCAGTCACTGGACGTGTGATTTTGGTTGACAATAAACGATAGGAAATAGAATGTCCAAATACACATATCTCGTATTCTGTGAGAATATACTTTCTGTATCACACCGCCATACATTGATCTCCATTTGTCAATTTTATGTAATTCATGAGTTAAGCGACTAATGTCATTCCGTATCTTCGGTAGTGATCAATTATTCTCAATCTCTCTATTTGTTTAATACATAGACTTAACACAAAACTTTTTTTCTCATTAATTAATTAAATTGTATTCCTTTGCGTTCCCAGTGGACCCCGCCGATAACTGCTACCTTGTTGTGGTGGTCGGGACTCTGTCCCTGCAGGTCCTACCATGTCAGGAAGGTTGTTTGGATAGCGGTTAAACTAAAAGCAGTTACCATGGGGTACATGAGCTCCAGTATCCAATCGGATCAAATGGCGTATGAACCCATATGGGTCACCGGGAACCATGGGAATGCAGCTCCTGACGCTGCTCCGCTGCCTTGGGGATTAGACTCCAAGTCAAAGGCTCGGGGGGCGCTTTAGTCTGAGCGCCCGGGCATTATCTCAGCCCTCACATAATGAATTGAATAAAGCAACAAACAATCAATGAAACTTATCACGTGCTATTACACGTGTCGCAGTTTCCTTCTCTATTCCCTTCCTAATGATAGTTAACGAATACTGTTTGAACTTGTTAAGCATGACTGTTTTCCTTCCAGATGAAGTTCTTTATCCGTTCTCTACTTATATATATTCTTTCTTTTCTTTCATTTTTTCTCTTGATCTATGTTGTTTTATTATTATAATAATGTGGTGCATCCTTCTTGGTGCCATATTGTACCAAGTTTTATGCGTTTAAATAAATAAATAAGTTCCCAGTGGAACTGGGCTTGAAGCTAGAGCTTTGGAGTTTCGGTAGCAGTGGTTTTTTTCTTTTACGGGGTGGGGTTGCTAGCCTCACGTTCACCCTTTCCTCTTTACCGGCCATACACTGGCATAGCGAGTCAAAGGAGTGCGTTGGTGGTCAGGGATCGAACCCCGAACCACGTGAGGCGTGGTTGGTGAGGGTTCTACCGCTGAACCATCAACGCTTTTTTTATCAAGACTTGTTAAAAATTAGGGAATAATACTGTGCCGTTTTTTGTTTGTAGTCAAAGGTTAGTTAGATTCAATTTAAGTGCTACTGACTTATGAACCATACTTCTTGTGTAGTGACTTATGATCCTGTATCGTGTGTTGCCTGGGCTAGAGTAGTTCGAATAAAGAAAGAATGAACATATTTACAGGATAACACGAGCTCGTTTTATCTCATGGATTCTTTGTTCAACTGCCTACATCCTACACAAAATCAATTCGGAGGTTGCCAGGTGGGGTATTGAGAGATTACTCACTCACTCTTTCTGTACGCCTACGTTGGGTCGAGGTCTTTTGATGGCAATGGCTTCTTGCAAACCGAAGTAAATGTGGCTTTCTTTATGTATTGATTGATTGAGTGTCTGGCGATTGCGTTTGAGAACGCTCTACTGCCTTTCAAACGTAGACTTTTAGGGATATGCGCGGAGAATCTAGTAGATGCTCTTCTCTCAGTCCATTCTATGTACTTGCTTCTGCAAGTGCGAGTGAGTCGGTAAATGCAGGTGGAGTTGAGCAGGATACTTATCTACATCTGACTGGGTTAAGGAGCATGTTGTGTTGTAAAGTGGAAGCAGTCTGGCTGCGGGAAATGTTCTTTTCAATGCACCTTTAATTCTCTTTTCCGTTCTAATGGATACCTCTTCATCTTTGTACGCTAGACATAAAAAAAATGGTTTCTTTTTTCAACTGTTTTGGGTTTCAGTCTAGGTGTTGTCTCTTTCCCATATTTTGATGTGAACTTTCGAGGGTATCCCCTGTTTCGATAAGGTTCTTTTCGATGACTGCGAGTTCCTTTTCAAGCTTATCTTTTGAATGCAACATTAGACTCAGGAACTCGAAATGCAATCAACAAAATTGGCGAAAAGTAATCATGATTGTTTTTATTCTACTATAAAAATTGTGTACACCCACACACACACACACTCTAATGTTTGTATCAACTCGAAATTTCTCTATCATACACTGTTCATTGTTTACAAAACTGCCTATTTTCTTGCAGCATGATTTGTCTTGATCAATTATTGATGAAAATATGCGATTCAAAAACGTTTGTAGAGTCTAATGCCAGCACTATTGCGAATCCAGTTTTCCACATCAGTTTTCGGGATTTTATTTCACAAGCTTTGAAGAATTTATCGCCTGCATATCGTATAAGTTATCCAGATTTGTCTCCTCCTGTGATTTGGAATAAGAAAGAACCGCCGTATATTCACTTATATACTGTTACAAAAGCTGGAAAGAAATTGGTAAGTCGATTTCTGTTTACCTCTGGGATTTTATGTACATAAAAATGTCTAAGGTGTTTATGATACTTTGGATATTTTGGAAAACCATCAGACTATGTTCAAAGTGTGTCATTTTTCTCTACTTGGAAATGCCAAACAGTTTCTTGTGTCAGATGATGGTATGGTAGGGTGAGTAATATTTTGAAGTGTTAGGTAGGTAGGGAAAATCTATCGATGGGGTTGTGTAGCAGCATGTGTTAGGCGTGCTTAACCATCGCCTTGCTCGACGTGTAGGTTGGTTCAGGCTGGAATAGAGCTAACCAGTGATGGTCAAACGAAAACATGGCTTCATCAGTCAATGAAGAAATTCACAACAGTTAGTTTAAGCTAGCCAGCCACGTAGGGAGGTGTAGACTTTCTGAGTGGCTGATTGAGGTCCTGGGGATAGTAAAAACCATTGCGGGTTGGTATGTCTAAAAATCGTCGTTGTCAGTGTCTGGCTCAAATGCATTCACTCTTTATGGTTTATCCATATCCAAAAAGAATCTACTGTTCTTCCATATTACTATTCTTTTTACCTCACTTAAACTCCTGTTTATTACCTCTCCTTTCTTGCTTTGTGTGCTTATTTATTCATTATTATTTATTTAAACGCATAAAAACTTGGTACAATATGGCACCAAGAAGGATGCGCCACACAATAATAATAATAACAATAATAAAACAACATAGATCAAAAGAAAAAAATTAAAGAAAGAGGAGAAATATATATATATATATATATATATATAATATAAGTGAAGAACGGATAAAGAACTTCATCTGGAAGGAAAACAGTCATGCTTAACAAGTTCAAACAGTGTTCGTTAACTATTATCGGAAAGGGAAGAGAGAAGGAAATTGCAACACGTGCAACAGCACGCGATAAGTTTCATTGATTGTTTGTTGCTTTATTCAATTCATTATGTGAGAGCTGAGATACTGCCCGGACGCCCAGATCGAAGCACGTGGTTTTATTAAGGGACCACCCCCGAGCCTTTGACTTGGAGTCTAATCCCCAAGGCAGCGGAGCAGCGTCAGGAGCTGCATTCCCATGGTTTCCAGTGACCCATATGGCTTGATACGCCATTTGATCCGATTGGATACTGGAGCTCATGTACCCCATGGTAACTGCTTTTAGTTTAACCGCTATCCAAACAACCTTCCTGACATGGTAGGACCTGCAGGGATAGAGCCCCAGTCAGTTTAGCATGTTGGGTCATTACGGTATTCAACCCCGACCACCGCGACAAGGTAGCAGTTATCGGCCGGGTGAAGCCTTATATCTCACTTGGAAACCCCAGGGCGCAATAAATATAATAAATATATAAATACACAGCATCATCGTCATATATATTTTCAAATCAACGACTTACTTTCAGGCCGACTGAGGTATTATGAAACATTACTCTTGAACATACTCTGAATAAAAATTCCTTCAGATTTTAAAGTAGTTGTAAACAAAGGAACGAATGATAAGGCGAATCGGTGTCCAAAAAATATCCCTTAATTTTAGTCACCGAAATGTATACGCAGAACCACCTTATTCCTCAGCTAGCAAATATTAACTGGAGTTGAGAAATGACTTAGAGTAGGGTAGGGGTGAGACCAAAACGGCACCACCAAGTCAATAGTGACCAATAACATCAGCCGTATAAGTAGCAAATGTCGACCTTTTCTAAGCCACTCCGGAGTGGAGCGACAGCATAGCTGGCATGCTGGTCATCTGAGGGAGACACCTTACTGCTGTTACATTTCTGTTCCCCAGCAGTACGACTTCGCCCACAAACCCCCAGTATAATGTAAGAAGGATTCTTTCACTAAGGCGGTAACTGCTTTTGGTCTAGTCGCTATCCTAACAACCTTCCTGGCATGGTAGGACCTGCAGGAACATTGGCTCCAGCCAGTGTAGCTTGTTGGGTCATCGCGATGTGCAAGCCCGACCACTACGTCAAGGTAGCGGCTATCAGTCGCGATGATGTTACAGGACTGGACTACACTGACTCCTAGTTTAGAAATAGGGAGTGAAGTTGTAGAGCACGTTAACCGCTTTACTTATTTGGAAGTTGCATCAACCAGTGCCAACGGGTTGATCTCTGACGAAATCTCAGCACGGATACAGAAGGCTAGTTTCGCATATGCCAGTTTACGCCGTCTAAGGGCGTGTGCACTGCTCAGGAGTCCGCTCCGTCCTCCTTTATGGCTGTGAGACTTGGCCATTTAGAGGAGAGGACATGAAAAGCCTGACTAGCTGTCTTTGATTATAGGTGTCTGCGTTCTATCTCCGTGTGATGTGGTATAATAGGGTTGGCAATATTGAGGTGAGGCCCCGGTCGAGTGCTAGGTAAGGAGAGGAAATCAATTGACGGGGCTGTGAAGTTACAAAGAGATGGTTAGGACATGTGTTACATATTCCTAGTCATCGGCATCCTCGACCAACCGGCAATGTTAGGTGACATAGGACTAGTCAGGTTGGAAAAGGGCTAGTGGTGGTCAAACCAAAAAATGGCACCAGTCAATGAAATCCACAACAGTTAGTTTAAGGCATGTAGGAAGATGTAGACTCCCTAACTGGTTGGCTACCTTCGTACGGTAAACATCAACGGAGGCTGGAGACAATTGGTGATATGGCTTAAAGTGATCGTTCTCAATGGCTGGCAAAGATGCATCCACTCCTTGTGACTCATGATTTCCAATGAAATTATATTGTTCTTTGTTATTACTATTCCTTTGTCTCACACCTCAGTTTACTGTTTCTATCATGCTTTTCTTGTACTTTCTTCTCTTGCTTTGTATTCTACAAGAAGGGAGTGTCGCTACTTGAACTGGTGCACATCAGTGCAGAGTTCTATGTCGAAAACAGACAGACAGTTTAAGGGACATTTGACTGTCATTCTATGCTCTGTTCGACGATGATGCGTAGTAGAGTTGCAATTAAAAATAATAAGGATTGAAATACTAAGATTGTTTGTCACTTTGTAAGGAGTCTAAGTCTATATAAAATCAATGAAACGAAATGTTATCTATCATATTACCATTACTATTCTATTTAAATTGTTGTGTAGCGGTTTTATATTCAAGTTAACCGGCGAAAATTAATTTCGGTGGTTCTCACTAGTTACTGTTAAACATATTTTAAGCAGAAAGGTATTTTGAAGCTTTTTTAAAATATTTCTTATCATCTTTCTCACTGTTGCTTTTCTCTGTCTTCTAAATACAAAATTGTAGACTAGGATAGCAGATTTAGAAATTTTCCACATTAATCCAGATACATTTTCAAAACACCTGAAAACAAGTTTGGCCTGTTCAGCTGGAAGGACAGAAGACCAACAATATCCGAATAAAATTGTTATTCAAGCACAAGGTGTACACCTTGCAGCAATCTCTAAATTGTTGACAGGTAAGGAGATGTGTAAATCTTAACATTCATAATAATTATGATTATTTCTGGCGTACATGCTTTCTTGGACGAATTACTTCTGATTACTATTCAGGCTTTTCATGTCTTCGACTCTCAATGGCCATATCTCGCTCACAGCCATAAAGGAGGACGGAGCGGACTGCTGAGCAGTATGCATGCCTTTTGATCGATAGCCAGCCGGATATCAGGTCTACGCCATAGACGGCGTAAACTGGCAAATGCGAAACGAGCCTCCTGTATCCGTGCTGAGATTTCGTCAGAGATCAACCCGTTGGTGTTGGCTGATGCAACTTCCCAAATAGACGAAGCGGTCAACGTGCTCTACCACTTCACTTCCTATTTCTAAGCTAGGAGTCAGTGTAATCCAGTCCTGTAACATTATCTTGCATTTGGCGGGAGTGATTCGCATGTCAAACATTCGCAGAGTGCAACCGAAGGTGTTCAGAAGATTCTGCATTTTGTGAGCGTTTTCACCTAGAAGGGAGGAAGACTATATCATCTGCATATTCTAAGTCAACGAGATTATTCTCTGGTGGCAGCAAGTCAATCCCTGAGTCGCTGAAGTCACTTAGGATTAATTCCATTAGTACATCTACCATGAAATTGATTAGAAATGGGGGTTGAATCGTGTGTCTAGAAATTGCTGTTTATATGCTTGTTGCATTTTATGATAATTTCATCTTAACCTTTTTTCTTGTTTTTTTAAAAATTTATTATCTGTACAGAATCTTACGGAATACCAAAACGATACATTAAAGGCTACACAGAACCAGACAAAAAGAAGTAGATCTCAGATTATCCGATCCAAAGGATATTATGCCTTTCCCTGTACATGAAACCGTCCAACTGCTATGTTTGTACACTGTTATGCATTATTATCAATGAATATTCTGAATAAATAAAAGTTGGGTTTTTGTTTTTGTTGAATTTTTCCCAACCGTATGGCTTTACTTGGCCTAGTGGGGAGAACTAGAACTTGTAGAATAAGTCAGTATAGGGGAATTGTGATAAAAGTCACCGTAAAAGCATGAACAGGAGGTAAAAGCCAAGCTTTGGTAACTTATCTGGTATCATATCAATAATTAATATGATTATGAACAATAAATGTTGTTCGAAACATCATCCAGTTATATAATACTGTTTCACTGACTGTGTGATACATCCAATAAACAAACTAATATGGGCTTACTTACTATCATAGTACCCAAGCTTTACATATATATATTAACAAACTCCAATGTTTGTTTGGTCAATGACAAAGATTATGTGATTGCTGTTGAAACATTCAAAAAAGCTAGAGAACCAGCATTAAAAAAAAATCAAAAAATTCAACAAACTAATGGAAGAAAACAATACAATAAATGAAATTGACGTCAACACTTCATCCTCTATTGACAGAACAAAATGGGTGATCAACCTCTCATCAAGGGAACTAAGCTCTAATGAGTGAGATAAAAGTACTTGAGAAAGGACTAAATTTCAATGTAACAGTAAGTAAATTAAAACCAGAGGATGTCATTCCTAACATAGAAGTAGCACTGAGTTCTGTAGATAAGACGACAGTAGAAGAGGTTCGAGCACAATGTGCATTAACCCTGAAAAATCAAACTTAACAACATCGGAAAGATTAGCTCTAATTAGTCTAAAAATAGAATAAAAACGTCGTCTTTGCAAAAGCTGACAAAGCAAACTCCACCGTAGTTTTGAATAAATCTGACTATATCAAAAAGGTTACTGAACATATTCAAACGGGTCCATATGAAGAAATTAAGAAGCCTGTAGGTACAATAATGAATGTGGTTAGGAAATCTACAGCGGATTTATATATGCAGAATGAAGCCGTTACTGAGTGAGTTTATATGAGCTAATTCAATGCCTAAAACTAATAATGCCAGTAGAATGTATGGTAATATTAAAATACATAAACCAGGTTACCTCATACGATCAGTAGTAGATTTCAGAAATACCCGTACTTGTGAATTATCGAAACACTTAGGTATAATATTATGTCCCATTAGAAATCGTTCAAACTCTAGACTAATTTATATGGATTGAAAACTAAATAACATCTAATTAAAAAATAATGAAGAAAATGATTAGTTTCAATATATACCAATCAATATGGCCTTAGAAGCGGTTAAAACGGAACTAACTGCAGATCCTGAACTTACTGATATGACAGAGCTACCTATTGAGGAAATTATTTTAGGAATTCGGGTATGTCTCACAACAACTGTTTTCAAATTTTAATGTAAAATATATAAACAAACTGAAGGTGTAGCAATAGGATCACCAATATCCCTAATCGCAACATATACCTTTTTGGATAGCTGGGAAAATATAGTTCTTAATACGTTAACTCCTACTCCAAAAATATGGTGGAGATATGTGGATGACACTTTCACACACAGTGTTAAAAACAGAACATCTCTCTCTCTCTAGCTTCTTGACACACATAAACTCACTAGTGAAGGGAATAAAATTCACATTTGAATCAGCAAAATGAACAAGGAGAATTAGCAGTGGTGTCAGATTGTAAAATAAAACGAATAGAAGAAGGTTAACTAGACATTAGTGTGTACAGAAAACCAACTCATTCTAATAGATACTTAGACTTTAATTCATCTCATCCGTTGTGTGTAAAGGCTGTCTCAGTTAAGTTTCTGACAAACCGAAAAATAGCACTAAGTAGTACAAGAAAAGACCTAAACGATGAAATAAAACAGATAGAAGAAGAAGCGTTAGTGTTAAATAACTGACTATCCTATAAAATTCATTAGGAAGATCAGTAAAGACCAAAAACAAAATAAAGATAATTGTGAAACTAGTAATGATAACATAAGTAAGGGAGAATATAAGTTATCTGCTGTTATACCATATAAGGAAGGAGTGGACATCTGAGACCCTACGTAGCATTCTTAATAGAGCAAAAATTATAGCGGCATTCAAACTTACGAACACACGCAGCAAAAGCTCCGTAGGTTAAAGGACCCAGTTAACTCAATAAGACAAAATAATATAGTATAGGAAATACCTTGGAATGACTGGGAGTTAGGTCAAATACATAGGTCAGTCAGACTACTAGGTAGGGGTAGTCAGATTGTCAGAACATACGAATTTAAGTAAGGTAAAAATGGTTGACCCTAAGAAGATAGGTAATTCAGAAAAAAGCTCAGCAACTGCACACATAACGACACAATAGGATGGGAGAGGGTTAAAATTCAAACAAGTAATATAGGTAGGGGAAGAGAGAGAGAGAGAGAGTGATAACTGAATCCTTGCTTGACGACTCGATAACAAAAACGCACATTAGCAATCATTCACAATTCAAAACACGAACATCTATTATTACAAAAATAATAATCGAATAAAACTAAAACGAATGATAAAAAAGTTAGAAACCTAGAGGACAGACAAAACGTTTATGCTTAGATCGGGTGAAAATATGGGAAACGAGAATGCTACGCGATATTCACACCGGATGGAAGAAGGTGCAACCCCCGAAAACAATCATATTCAAATTAATCGTGGAATAAGTTTTTCAGTAAATCATAAACAACGCCGAAAAATCCAGAATTCTACGCAAATATACCGTGACGAATCAACCGGTAAAAAAAGAAGTAAGTTAAATGAGATCCCAGTGGACAGACAGTCATCTGTGTACTAGCCGGCAAAAATCGTCAGAAGAAGAAGAAGTCATCGAGGATTGTTCTCCAACCCCTCCACAATCTTCTATTATACACGTATTGACAGCTGGGTTTCCTGTGAAATGTGCATACATGTCGTCATCTCGGTGAAATCACCAGTCAGCCGGAGATAAGTGAACACACACATATATGATGGGTATGACACCAGTCATATTCATCCTGAGTCAGGGAGGCTTGTGACACACATATTGTCTGGTGAGAGAGTAGTCCTGAAGACAGACACAGACAGTTGAATAACCGACCGACAGCCAAGCATTATTAAAACCAGTGAATTCCCGTATCCTCCCTCGTATGACATGGGGATTACAAGGAGGCTAATCAAATCGATGATAATAGTCGAAGATAAGCAGAGACGAAAGAAAGCTGCTCAACCGTGAACTGACTAGAAGTCTACGAACAGGGGATGGCTAAAACCGGTGAGAAGTGATGCAGGAGGAGATGGGATGCATCGTCAACAGGCTTTATTCTCACCAAGTATTTATTTATTGAGGAAGCTAGCTCCGGGAAAGCTGTAGGCAGTAAGACGATTTCCGAGAGGGATGAAAGCTTCATATTTTCTCTGGTCAAATGGTTAGAAAGTTAGGCAGAGAAGCTCGACGACCAGTCCAACTCACCCACCCACCATCAGTCATCGTCAAACCTGACTCAACTCAGCCCGTCAACTCTAGCTCAGCTTGTTGACAAAGCTGTCAAACGAAACGAAGCAATAGCACATGGTGTGATCGTTTGACTCTAGAGATTTTGGGAGATGGTGGTGATGAATTGTCGACTGGATGAACTAGGGACCTCGACAGACAGAAAGGCAGGCTGACTGGAGTACGGGGAGGAGAAATTCGAGTTAGCCAGCATCAGCCAGTCAGCTTTCAGCATCGAAGCTGTCCGGATTTATAATGTCTGAGCAGTTCTACAGGTTTGTGTGCAGTGAAACCATACTGACAGCAGGCAGGTGATATATTTTCAACTGAAATACGGATCTCCCTTGTCCGTCGTCGATCGACACGTTTGATGTGGATGTCTGACAGCGAAATGAGTGAGTGACTAGAAAGGATGACATGCTAATTAATCATCACTGAGTCGTGTAGCAAGCAGCTTACCGAAAGTCATTCATTGTCTCAAGCGACGATAGTCAACAGCATCTATCGAGTGTGCCCAATCCACTTGTTCTTATTCAACTTATCATAGAAGTATCGATGGATGTGAGAGAGGGTCGGATTTCGACCTTGAATGCTGATCGTCCGAGGCGAAGACTTTACTACTTTACTACTGTCACATGCCTATTCGTCAGCACCACGAATTCGCCATCACACACACCCCACAACATGGTTGGTGTATGCGACTCACAGTATAGTATGGTGCTAACTGATTCCAGTCTAACCGCTATGCAAACCAATTTTCTGGCATACTCGGACACGCAGGAACATTCGCTCCACCCAATCTAGCTAGCTAGCCAGCCAGCGCTTTCAATCATTCAGACACGTAAAGGTAACAACAGCTATCGGTCGGCGTCAGATTATTCACTCAACCCCGTCTAACCAATATGGCGAATATGCGAAGTTCAAGTCACCAGAATCATCAGATTGTATGCCTAGTTCTCGTGAAAATCTGGGACACAGAACTCACTTCAATTGGATCCTAGTGGACAGTCAGTCGTCTGTGTGCTGGGCGGCCTAATGCGTCAGTAAAATTAGAAGTCATCGAGGATTGTTCTCCAACCCCTCCACAATCTTCTATTATACACGTATTGACAGCTGGGTTTCCTGTGAAATGTGCATACATGTCGTCATCTCGGTGAAATCACCAGTCAGCCGGAGATAAGTGAACACACACATATATGATGGGTATGACACCAGTCATATTCATCCTGAGTCAGGGAGGCTTGTGACACACATATTGTCTGGTGAGAGAGTAGTCCTGAAGACAGACACAGACAGTTGAATAACCGACCGACAGCCAAGCATTATTAAAACCAGTGAATTCCCGTATCCTCCCTCGTATGACATGGGGATTACAAGGAGGCTAATCAAATCGATGATAATAGTCGAAGATAAGCAGAGACGAAAGAAAGCTGCTCAACCGTGAA